CCAGGCGAGCCTCTCTGGGGAGATTGTTCCACAAACAGGGGGGCCACCACAGAAGAGTCCCCAACTTGTGTTACCACCCACTGGACCTCTCGTGGAGATGGCACGTGAAGAAGGGCCTCTAGGTTGGATCATAGCGGGAGAGGCAGTCCTTGAGTTATTGCGGTCCTGAGCCATTTAAGGATTTACAGGTCCAAAGCGGCACTTTGGCTTGGGCCCAGAAACTATCACACCTTCAGTGAGAGCTCTTGTGCTCCTGTCCTGCTTGTGAGCTTCCCAGGAGAAACCTCTGGCTGCCCACTGTCAGAACAGAATGCTGGACAAAGTGGACCTTTGGCCTGGGCCACCTCATGAGAAGAGAAGACTCCCTGGAAAAGACCCTGATGTTGGGAAAGATGGAGGGCACAGGGAGAAGGGGACGACAGAGGACAAGATGGTTGGACAGTGTTCTGGAAGCTACCAGCATGAGTTTGACCAAACTGCGGGAGGCAGTGGAAGACAGGAGTGCCTGGCGTGCTCTGGTCCAGGGGGTCACCAAGAGGCGGACACGACTAAATGACTAAACAACAACAAAGAGGGTTCCAGATCATACAGAAGCTTGTGAGCTGGATCCCTCCCTCCCTCAGGGCTCTCTCCCTCCAGACATCTGCTCTGAATGTTCAGAGAGGAAGGGTCCTAGTTCTCCTTAACTGTGAATGACTCATGGCTGGAGGAGCCTCCGGACAGGGATTTCAGAACACGTGGAGGCCAGATCACATGAAGGCTCCTTGACTCTGTGCACACGTGGAGGGAAAGGGGAGGGTCTCCCCGGGACTGTCACTGCTGCGTCTGGAAAGGGCTGAAGAGACAAGCGGTCCAGAAATGGAAAGGAGAACAAGCAGAAGTCACTCCAGATGGGAAATGAACCTCGACCACTGCTCAGCCTCTGCTTGGTGGAAGGATCCTTTCCCAACAGTTTCTCCGGATACTTGGAGAGAGGGATGTCGGAAGCAGAGGCGACCCCTCGCCGCCCCCTCCCCCGGCAGCCAAGGGGTTGCGGGCCAGCCTGAGCGCTCCCCCTCCCCCGCCCAGCTGCCGGCTGGCGTGTCTCCTCCAGGGGGCTGGAGTTGGGGGGTGGGGGGAGCGCTGCTGCTGCTGCTGCGTCGGGCCCGGCCTGCCTCTCCCCTCCCCCTCCCCGCCCGTCTTGGGGGAAATTGCTTCTGTGCTCCGGGTTAACTAGGATGAAAGGCGGCGGGCCCTCCCTTTGTCCCCCCTCCCCGGTGCCTTTAATCAGAGGAGGGGGGAGGGAGCCACGACGTGATCCGCATGCAAACCGGGGGAGCGGCTCAGATGCCCCCTTCGGACGCCGGGAAGCCGGGGCTGAGCTGGGCTGCCGGGAGCTGCTGCAATGAGCAGGGAGGGGGTGAAGACCCCCTTTATTGGCGGGGGGCGACAAAGGAGCAACAGGCGAGAACGCACAGCCCGTCCTCCTTCTCAGCTGCTCAGGAAGACTTCCTACTGCAGGAGTCGGTCGGACTTGAGCGTGGCTGGGGTGGGATTCGGAGTGGGGTCTCTCTCTCTCTGTCTCCCCTCCGAAACTTGTACTCAAAAGAAGAGCGGAAGGAAGCTGCAGTTAGTATACTGAGCCAGGCCGTTGGTTTATCTGTCTCAGTAGTATAGAACCCTTAGAATTGAAAAGTTGGCCTTTGTGAAGACTTGACGTTTTCATCCCAAAAAAAGTTTTTGATTTGAGGCTGCATTTTAATGTTTTAAGTTGCATTTCAATCAATTTGTTTTTATATCAGTTGTTAGCCGCCCTGAGCCTGGTCTTGGCTGGGGAGGGCGGGGTATAAATAAAATTTATTATTATTATTATTATTAAGAGTTGGAAGGGACCCTGAGGGTCATCTAGTCCAACCCGCTGCAAGACAAGAATCCCAACCAAAGCATTCAAGACGGATGGCCATCCAGCCTTGGCTTCAAAAACCTCCGAGGCAGGAGAGTGGTCCGGTCCACTGTCGAAGGGCTCTTTCTGTCTTATTCTTTGCACCGTCCAGTCTTCCCAAGCCCTGCCTGGATATATTGCTGGTGACGGAAGCTGGGACTTTTTGAATACAAAGCAGGGCGCTCTTCCATCGGCGTGGCTGGGGAGCGCGTGGGGTAACAAAGAAGAGGGTCCCCGAGCCATGTGCAGAGAGCACCCGCTTCTTCCCTAAGCAAGCGCCCGCGGGCAGAGGCTCCCGCCTGCGCTTTCCTTTCCAGCCCCGACAGACAACAGCTCTCGTCTTCGAAAGGGGGGGAGGCGGTAAGATCAAAGGGTCTGAGGACCCGGGTTCGTGTGAATCAGCCTCGCGGGGCGCACCTTACTTCCAAAGGACCGGCCTCCTTCCGCGCGCGCCTTGACCACAGTTTGGAGAAAGGCGGAAAGAAATCGAGGACATACAAAGGATCTATTGCAAGATTTTCTTCTCTCTTTTATTATTATTAATAATAATATTATTATCGTGAAGTGCTCCAGGACACCGTTGTGCTAATTGTGCTTTACTGGTACATCATTCAAATACTGGCTCAAAATCATTATTATTCTCGTCATTATTATTTGTCTGCATTTAGTATTATTATGTCTTTTCTCCTAGGGAAAAGTTTCTCTTTTTCTCTCTCTCTCTCCACAAACAGGCTTAGAATTCTTTACAGCTTGTAAAAATTCATGTAAATTTCCAAACGGTATTTACAAAGCTCCTTGCAATATACAGTCGTCAGAGTCGATCCCCTTTTGAAATCGGTATTAGCGGAGGGAGCAATAGTTAGCAGTCTTAGCGTCAGAAGTCATCGTTCTAGTAGCATTATTAATTATCTTAAGTACAAAAACAGGAGGTCCTAGCTAATACAAGTTTCCTTCTACCTGAATTCTATTAAGGTTGTTTTTTTTTAATTCTTTTGTGCTGTTTATTTCTCTTAAGTTATTCATAAAATGGAAAGACCTAAAAGGGGGGAGGAAGGTGCCTTATAGGTAAAGGAGGAGGACCGTCTACGTGGCTTGGTTGGTTTCCCCAAGAATCGGAGAACAGTAGAGAGGGAAGGGACCCCAAGGGCGTAGCGGTGTAGTGGTTAGAGCGGTGGACTTGTAATCTGGGGAACCGGGTTCGCTTCCCTGCTCCTCCACCTGCAGCTGCTGGGTGACCTTGGGCCAGTCACACTTCTCTGAAGTCTCTCAGCCTCACTCACCTTGTGGGAGAGGAAGGGAAAGGAGATTGTGAGCCGCTTTGAGACTCCTTAGGATAGTGATAAAGCTGGATATCAAATCCAAACTCTTCTTCTTCGTCTAGCCCAACCAGCTGCAATGCAGGAGCGAGGAGGCGATGGCGTGGATGGGACAGGATCCTTCCCGGATGAATGACGTTAGAACACTATATCTGAAGTCTAAGAGGGGATGGGATGGAGACCGGGCCTCAGTGTGCAGGAAGGGGGACGGGGCTCTGAGGCGCGCCATCCCACAGGTGTGAGCGCCAGATACCTCCCCGTCGAAGGACACACCTGTTGAAGGCAGGTAAATACATTTGGAGCTGGCCCTGGTTGGAGGGTCCGGGGTTCTCAGGGTGGGCGTGAAGCCACCCTCCCCCGGGGAAGGTGTAACTGCACCTTTGACCCCTCCCCGCAGCCCTTCCAGAAACTCAGCGCCTGGAAACGGGTCGGGGGGGGTGTGCAGAAAGGGACTCTGAAAAGCCACCGTGGACGGTCCTCGAGAGGTTCGCTAGAAAAAAGGGAGGGAGGGGGGTTAATTGCTCGTAGGTCTCCTGGCAAGGCAAGCGCTACAAGCCTAGAGAGGTGACTAAGCTACTCGGAAGTAAGTCGAAGAAGGCAGGCAGTGTGCATTCATTAGAAGAGAAGAGAAGGAAGATTCGCCGTATTAACTCTATCTTACTACATTGGCAAAGTCCCTGATATCCGTTGCTATTAAGAATATTGGATTAAAATGTACCTGATTCCTCAGTAATACTATTGTCTTAAAAATAACATGCATTACGTTAATTATTGCTTCTATTAGTTCAGTAGGAGAATATTGCCCTCAAATAGACTATTATTATTATTATCTAAAAGTTTGGCAAAGAAAAAAGTGACGTAAAATTGTTTTACAAATGAAAATCCATAATAATAATAATAATTTAAAAAAGCATCATCAAATTGGCATAGATTTTTAAATACATTTTTTTTGTTCTTGCATGCAAAAAATCCTGTGTTAGAAAGGATGGCAACAACACCCCGCCCCACCCCCCCCCTCAACAAAAAGAAAGAAAGCAAGAAGGAAAGGAAAAAAAGGCCAGTCCTTTTTCCTCGTGTTTGTTTCCTCGTTCCCTCCCCCTTCAAAAAGTGACGTAGACTTTGGCATAGTAAAGTAGTCTTGGCAACAAACGAACAGATTGGAAGTCAACAGTGGTGCAAAAGAGTTGGCTCGTCTCAACAACCGAAAACTCGAAAAAGTGCAAACGTAAAAGTCTTAAGGGAGGAGGCGCTCCCCCCCTCGAATAAATAAATGCATAAATAAACAAACGCATAAATAAATAAATAAATAATAAATATAAATAAATAAATAAGAAAAGTTTCCAAGTTAAATATATACTTCTGCATTTTCTTTTCTTTCAAATAAATAATTTTTTAAAGACCCGTCAAATTAATATATAGCAAAGCAAACACTTAGGAAAATAGAAATTGACACTTTTTGGAAAAGAAAAGAGGAAAAAAAAGGAAGAGGAAGAGAGAGAAAAACCGTCTCGCAAATGAAATCGTAAAAAGAGAATCGTTCGCCTGACGTAATTCATTAATGAATAATTCATAATCATCATTATTGTTATTATGCTTATTAGGCTTATTATACTTCGCGGGAAGAGCAGGAGTGTGGAGATGGCGGGGGTGCGCTTGGCTTCTTGTGGTTGTTGTTTTACCTTTCCAGGCGGACCCTTGCGCGGCCCTTGGCTGCGGGGGGTTTCGCGAATCTGGCTTCGCGGTTTCGCAAGGCGAAGTCGACCCTTTTGGAAAGCCCGGAGGAGGCGGAGGAGGAAGAGACAGGGAGGGAGGGCGCGGGCGCGGGAGGAGGAGGGGGCCCTCGGCGTGGCCTCTCCCCCCCTCCCGGGGGCGGGTTCAGGCGTCGAGGGGGCTGAGCGGGGGCGGGACGGCGCCCTTGAAGCAGGCGGACTCGTAGTGCTTGTTCAGGTAGGACTTGAGGGCGAAGGTCTTGTTGCAGCGTTTGCACTTGAAGTGCTTGAAGGCGGAGTGAGTCTGCATGTGGGCGCGCAGGTTGGAGCGGTCGGCGAAGGCCTTGCCGCAGTGGGCGCAGCCGAAGGGCTTCTCGCCCGTGTGCGAGCGCATGTGGCCCTGCAGCAACCAGGGCCGGCTGAAGGCCTTGCCGCACACGTCGCACTTGTGCTTGAGGTCGTGCGTCAGGAGGTGCATGGCCATGGCCGGCATGGACACGTACACCTTCCCGCACGTCGGACACTTCTTGGCCATCTTGCTGTCCAGGCTGCGGTGCGTCTGCTTGTGGCGGCTCAGGTTGGACGACGTGGCGTACGTCTTGCCGCACTCGCTGCACGTGTGCCGCTGCTGCTGCTGCTGCTGCGGAGCAAGAGGAGGGCCGCCCTGCGGGCCGGATTGCTGCGGAGCTTGGCCCAGCCGGGAGCCCGCCGCCCGCCGCCGCCCGCCGCCCACCACCGCCGCCTTGCGGCGCGAGCGGCCGTCGGTGATGAAGAAAGCATCGACGGCGTAGCCCTCGCTCACCGCCGCGTCGCCGTTGATGTAGCCGCCGGCCAACTCCGAGTGGGGGCTGTCCGGCGGGTCCGAGTCGGGCGCGCCGTAGTCGCCGTGGCTGCCGGGGTAGATGACGCCCGTCGGCGAAGGGACCTTGAGCCCGCCGTCGCTCTCGCCCTCGTACACCGACGACGGGGAGATGTACTCGCTGATGTAGCCTCCTGAGGAGCGGTGGGGGTGGGGAAGGGGGGTACAGGGGGGTGGGGGAGAAGGGGACGGAGCAGGAGAGGGGAGGGGAATGAGTTGGGGGGAGAGGGGGCCGTGTGGGGGGTTTCCAGGGGGAAAGTCGAGGGGAACGGGAGAGAGAAGGTTTTCCGAGGGGGACGGAGGGAGAGGTGGAGAGCAAAAGAGAAATTAGGGGGGAAAGGAATGAATTGGGGGCGAGGGAGGGGGCCACGTGCGGTTTGGAAGGGGGGAGTGTAGGGGATGAGTTGCGAGGGGGAAAGGAGGGGGGGCCGTGGGGCGAATTGGAAAGGCCACACATGGAGAAAGAGAGATGGGTTTGGGGGCGGGAGGGGGGGGAAGAGAGTGACACGCAAAGAAGGGACAAGATGGGTACAGAAGACGGGAGGAAGAGGAAGAGGGGGCAAGGAGGAAGACCAGGGAAGGAGGGCGGAAGAGAGAGAGCGGCGTGGATTCAGCAGCAAGTCTCCCAGGCCGGAGCAGAGCGAGCCCAGCCCGGCGACTCTGATGAGTCCATAATTGATGGGCTCGGGAGCTCGGCTCGAGAGCTCTCTAGTTAATAGATGCAACAAGCTGGAGCCCGGAGGAGCCCCCTCCCTCCCTCCCCCCCTGCTCCCCCCCCCCGGCCAAGCGGCTCCTCTGTCATGCTAATCTCCGCGGCGCTTGATGAACCTCCTTCCCCTCATCTTCCTCTCCATCATTCCGGGCCATTTCCCGGCCTTTCACCTGCGGCTGCCTCGGCCAGATAACTGCCTGGCAGGAATTGAGGGGGGGGGGGAGAGAGAGAGAGATGTGCGGGGAGGAGAGGGGCATCCTCTTTATCTCCATTCCCCTCCCCCCACCCCACCCGCGATCCTCTCCTCTCTCTCAAGGTCAGCGCTCTGCAGGAGACCAAAGGAGAAAGGCGCGCGGGGAGGGGGGGTTGCGGAGGGGGAGGCTAATTCCCCCATCCCCCCCTTTCCTCCCTCTCGAACCACTTCAGCAGAATTCCGGCGATTATGCAACACGCTGCAGACGGATTGCCCGGAACAAAAGCGGGGAGGGGGGGGAAGCGGGGGTCACCAGGAAGCCCCAGCCGGAGGGGGATAAACATCCCCTGGTTTGGAGCCACGCATAGACAGGGAAGATTATGCGGAGTCCCGCGGAAGGGCCCTCCCCTGGGGAAAGACTCTTGGGATGCGTGTGGGGGGGGGAGAGGGGGTTCGGTTGCCCTTGAACTTGAGCGCGAGACAAAAGGGCCTCTCTCACAAGGAACTGCAATCCAATGGGGCTCCTCTTCCTCCTCCTCTTCCCCCCTCCCCTCTCTCTCCACACCCCCCCCCCGCCCGCGCGCCCTTGCCCCATCATGGAAAAGGCTCGCCCACCCGCCTCCGTCCCTGCAAGGTCTAATTTTAGCAGGGTTTGGATTGCATCGAAATGTGCCGAGTCAGTCAACGCAGCGCCGAGCCAGGCGCGAGACCCGCTCAATACGGCCCTTCGCGGATGCCGCGGCCCCCGGGGCTGCAAAAGAATTCCAGGAAAGGCGCCGCATACCGGGACTCGCTTGAGCCCTGGCGCGCTGCCTCCCCCGGTGCCGTGAGAGCGCTCACCGGGGGACAACCCCCCCCCGGGTGGCTCTGCTGTTGCTGCCCAGAGTTTCTGCTGCGCATTGGCACGGTTGAAGCACCGCTGACCGCCCCCCCTTCCGCACCGCCACAGCCTCGAGTCCCCCTAATCCCTGTCTCGGTGGGGGCCCCCTTCCTCTTTCTCTCCCCCCTCCCCTCCACTGCTGGGTGAGGGTCCTCTGCCCACCCGCCCCCGTCCTTACCCTTGTCATGGATCCGGGAGCTGAAGTCCGTCCGCGACCTGCCGTAGGAGTTCTCGAGATCCGCCGAGGAGAAATCGTCAAGTTTGACCTTTTTAACCAGGAAAGATCTTGGCATGGTTTCTGAACTCTCCCGGAATGTGACGAAGCCCCCGCAGCTTCAGCCGATGGGTTCAAATGAGAGGTGGGGGGGATGCGGGAGGGGCGCAGGGGTGGAGGGGGGCAGGAAGGGGAAGGAGACAGCCGAAGAAAAAGAACAACAACAAAAAAGAAAGAACGGAAAACGTACAAAAATAAAATTTGGGGAGGGGGAGAAAAATCAGATTTGTTTTTTTATAATAATAAGAATTAAAAAAAGCAAACCCCGAAAGGACTCAAGAATGGCAATGTCGGCGCGCTATGGCTTCGTGGTATTTTTTGCTTGCTCGTTCCAAACCCCTGAATGGAGCGCTGCCCGCCGCGGAGGTCTCCAGCCTGGGCGGTTGCGCCGCGCGAGTCCTTGTTCCCGCAGCGGCGGCGGCGGCGGCTGCTTTTGTGCGCGGCGAGGCTGCGCCTTGGCAGGCCTCTCGCTTGCGCTCCAGCGCGGCTCAGAAGCCCACCATGAGTTCGAGAGATTACAACCAACGCCGCGCTGGTTCATAAGAGGCGGCCGGCGAGGTCGGCACCTGGACAGCTCCTTCCCGGTGGGCCGGCGCTCCCCGCCTCGCTCCCCGGTCCCTCGCTGGCTCGCCCGGGCTCTCCGCCGTTGCAGCCGCCGCCGCCGCCGCCGCCAGGCGCCCTCACCGCCGCCCCGCCAGCCCGGGCTGCTGCGCTCTTGCTGGGCTTGGCTTCTCCTGCCCGTCCGCCCCCTGCGGCTCGGTCCTCTCCAGCGCTGCGGCTTCTGCCTGGCTTGCGTGTGTGCTGTAATTCGTATTGTTGTTCCGCTCCGGGGCTGCGATGGCGGTGGGGAGGGGGGGCGGCGGCGGCGGCGGCGGCGGTTATTGCTTGCTTGGCTCGCTCGTTCGCTGGCTTGCTGGCTCGCTTGCTTGCTTGCTTGTTGGGCGGTTTTTTTTGGGGGGGGGGTTCCTTGTTCAGCACTGGACAGCTCCCAGGCTTCCTTGCCGCAGCCTCTTGTTGCAAGCTCCTGAATTTCTGAAGATTCGCGGATCAGCTGTTCGGATTTATAATGCAGCGATCAGGTGGTGGACGGAAATGGAAGCGCTTAATTTAATCCATCAAAAAAAAAAAGGGGGGGAAGAAATCTCTCCCGGGAACAGGGCTGAGACAGAATGATTTAGTGACGCTGTTGTGAGTCGCCTCCTGCCCTGCCTTTTCGTAAACCCCCTCCCACTCTTCGCTCTTCCCTTCCTTTCCTTTCCTCCCCTCGACCCTTGGTCGTTTTTCCTTTGCAAGTTTAGACGCGGAAAGTGCGCGGAGGAGGCAGATCCAGCTCCCGCGGCAACGTCGGAGGCTCGGCGCAGCCCCGGGTGGGGAAAATATATCTATATCCCAGCATTCGCAGCCCGTTGGCAACTTGCAAGAGAAGCAACTTGGCTTGGCCGCGAAACACAAGCCCACCCCCCACCCGGCTCTATCAGACCTAATGAGGAGGGAAGGAGGGGTGTCGCTTTCTCCCCCCGCCAGTGATTTATTGGAGGGAGCGTCAGGAAGACCTGTGGGGCCCTGTGGGCGACACCCTCACTTTTTAATGAGGGAAAGGGGACGCAGGCTGGGCCTTTTGTTCCCCTTTTAGAAGGAGGTTGGTGAGAGAAAGGATCTCTTGTCGGAAGAAAGGGGGGCTGAGTGTCGTGGGTGTCACTAATCGTGTGGGGAGGCATCATTTGCTAAAAGGTGAGGCGCTGAGACGCAACCCTGCCTTTCCTTTTACTGAGTGAGGAGATCCTCTCCCAGCCCCAGATGTGTAAACACTGGAAGCGGAGGAAAGACACTTTGCACGTGCTCAAGGGCACGGCGTTGTGACTTGTTCCCATGTCACAGGACTGAGTTCCAAGGTTGTACACCAGGCCTTCCCCTCAATAAATAAATAAAGTACTGCTCCTTCGATCTGGGGCAGCAAAAGGGGGTAGACAGTAGTCAAGATTCTTGGGCCTATATTCTGACAAAGAGTCGAAGGGGAGTCTACTGCAAGGGGATTCCAGTTCGCACGCAGGAGTCACATGCTATCTGAGCAGAGTCTTGAGGTACTGGATTCTGGAGAACTGGGAAAGGAGACCGCCCCCTCCCGTCTTCTGCCTACATCCCAGAATAACGAGGTAGTGAGAAGCCTGCAATAGCAAGAAGGCAACAAGTGTCTCGGCCACTGAAGGCCAGCCGTTTGGCACCCGTCCCCTTCTGGCTTCCACGCGAAAACCGGGGTTCCATAAATTGATTGGGGTTGCGGGGAGGACTCGGGAGTTTCCTACGACCCGCACGTCTGAACACAGTGTAGCCAAGTTGAGAGGCAGCAAGGTGGGGTTTGTGTATATGTAGGTTCATCTGAACCCGATCTCCCAGGAGAGGAGTTTCAATCACTATGGGGTGTGAACCGACCTCGTTTCAGTGCCAAGGGTTGCCAACGTGGCAGAGCAGGAGAGAAAAAGTTGGTGGTTGGCTTGGCGCTAGAAAACAAGAGCTGCAAAATAGAGGACGGGGTTATTTTCGCAGCCCTCCCTCGCCCCGCTCTCCCCACCCCACAGCCCAAACCCTGAAAGCGCCCAGACCCGTCCATCCAACCGCTCCGCCTTTCTTGGTGGCGCTACCGGTGGTCCCACCTCCCGACGCCTCCTCGGTGTCACACAATGGCCCGCGAGCATGGCAGGAGAAGGAGGCGCTGGATGTGTGCACGACCCACGGGGACCTTTCCCTGCGTGAGAATCATTGGGAGGAGCGAGGCGCCTTGCTGAGCTCCCTTGGAGATGGTCTCCACGGCTGGGCCCGCGCGGGGGCTGACCTCCCCGGACAGGACTTTCTCCACTAATCCCCCACTCGCTCCCTCGCTCCCTGAGTCAGTCCATCTTTCTCCTCTACCCTGAATGGGCCTTTGGCGTGGGATTTGATGCCAGAGAGGTCTCGTGCTGTGCAAACTGCAAGGAGAGAGTTTGTTTTGTGCAAAAGAAACGTGGTCGAGGCCCCCCGAAGAGGGATTCGGGGCATATCTGGATTGCAAAGCAATAAACAGTGAATGCAAAGGCCCAGCCTAACTCTCTCAGCGCCAGCTAGTCTCCCTTGCAAAGGCCCTTTCACGACCCCCTCCCGGCAAGCCAGCGGAGCTGCGACCTCAGGTCTGGAATCCCCTCTCGAAACCTCCTTCCCAGCCCCGAGAAGCGTCTTCTCCGCCGCTCGCCGGCATCCAGACGCACCACTGGGCTGCGTTTGTTTCTGCTCGGCTCCCCTGCGGCCCTGCCTTTGATTCCTGCTGCTCTCCTTCCCTGCATCCTAATTAACAAGACTGCTGTGAACCTCAGGCCCTTCGCGAGAGAGCGAGATCAAGAGAGAGCGCTCCGAGGGCGCGCGGGAGCGCGCGCAGCGACCCGGGTTTTGTTCTGAATTTCCGCCCTCCCTCTCTACTCCGGCGGACTGATGGAATTGCAAACCAAGCTAACAATCTCCAGTCACCCAAAGTTTACAAGTCACCCTCTGACATCACGGCCCCCAAGCCAATGGGCTTCGCTTTATGCAAATGAGGGGGGCTGGCGAGCAGAAGGTCCCCCCTTTTGCACAATGATTCCTCCAGGAGACATAAGTCCCTAATTAACAAATATCTAGGAACAAGCCTGTTCGCTATTGTCTTGCCCTGTGTAGATTTGTTTACTTCTGCAGGAAAGAGAAGAGAGGGAAGCCCAGGTGACAAAGGCCACGCCAACGCCGCCTCCCCGCGCCCACGAGGGGCGCCTGCCTGCCTGGGCAGTCTTCCGAGGACCCTCGCCCCCCACCCGCCGCCCCAGGGCTCAGGGCACGGCGGGACGAGGACACTTTGGAGCCCCAGGAGGGAAAAGGCACCGCGCATCCTCTCCCCACGCACCCCCCACCCACGCAAGGGACCCATTCTCGCGTGCCACCACCAGGAATGCTCCCTGCACAATATGCAGGCCCCGTTCATTTCCCTGGGCTTCTGCAAAATGAGCTTCGTGCGGCCGGAGCTCTCCTGAGTCCCATCTGCCCGTCTCCACATTGCGGTCCTGAAGGGCAGCCCACCTGCCCTCCAAGTGGAGCTGTACTCCGGTTCGGTGCGGGGGACCTTTGGCCCTCCAGATGTCGAAGAACTACAGCTCCCATCAGCCCCAGCAAGCATGGCCGTTGACTAGGGATGGAAGGGAGTTGTAGTGCTGCGCGCACAAACCCGGGCAAAATGTTTTCTGCAAATGCATCAATAAACCTGTGTGTGTACAAAATAGGCTCCCGAGCACCGCAGGTGTCTTCCATTGCAGGCTGCTCGGTTCTAGTGCGCTGCACTAGTTGCAAAATGCCAACAGTTTCCCCATGTACTCCGGCGTGGGTGCTGGAAATGCTAAATTTAGCCAATTCATATTCTGAAGCAGGTAATTACAAATGTGGGTGACATCATGACTTGGTCGGCTTGCATTCCAGGCGGCTGGAACCGCCAGCTGAACGTGGATGCTGATTATCTCTCTGGCCAGGCCAGAGCCTAAAAGAAGAGCCATTCCCCTCTTGCCACGTTTTCCACGGGATGCATCCACTGCAGGTACCTCTGTCAACCCCACAGATGACAGCCCAGCCTCCGCTTCCTTAGCTGTAGCAGAGAGTCCTGCCCCTCCTGAGGCAAGTCTGCTGCCCTGTCGAACAGCTCTGAAGTTTCTCCCAGTCTTTTGCTGAAATCTGCCTCTCTCTAATTTCCTGTCATCTGGAGAAACAGGGAAGAGGCCATTGCTTCATCTTCTGAAGGACAAGCCATGCAGCCATTTCTTGATTAATCTTCACTTCTCCAGGCCAAAGATAAATAATAATAATAATAATAATAATAATAATAATAATAATAATAATTATTTATACCCCACCAATCTGGCTGGGTCTCCCCAGTCTGGGCGGCTTCCAACAAAGTACCAAAATACAGTGGTCTGTTAAACATTAGATGCTTCCCTAAAGAGGGCTGCCTTCAGATGTCTTCTAAAAGTCTGGTAGTTGTTTTTCTCTTTGACAT